TGGAAAATGGCTGCAATGAAACAAAGAGTGAAAAATTTAAAGGGGTCTGAATACTTTCCGTACCCACTGTATACTCAAACTATTAACTCCGCACATGGGCATGGGTTATGATCATCATAGTAGGTAAGGGGTTTAAATGCCTTAAGCTATATAAAGTAACGCTAAACGGCACTTACGTTCTGTATAAGTTGCCCCTTGATGGCAGTCTGGTCTGGCCTCCAATTCGTTTCCCCAATTCGAAGTTGTGACTGGAGACAAAATTATTTATGCATGTTGTCCACACATTTATTTCTCTAAGTCATAATTATAAATAGAATTATGAACTTACATTCAGAAGAGCCCATGTTGCCAGGTTACCAGGCTGGAGCTGAACTGTGGCTGCAGTTGTCTGTTTGGGCTGTCTGTGAATTATCTGTTAGTAATTTAAGAAATTTTTTTTTTCAGAAACATCAAAATAGCATGTGTTTATCAGTGCTTTTGGACCCTTAATGTGTTTTTCATACATCTTAAAAATATGCTACAAAGATTATATTATATATAATTTTATTTATATAGCCCCAATACTCCCAATACTCTTTGTGATATTATTTACAAGAATTCCCACCATGAGCAAGCACTAGGCAACAGAGGCAAGGAAAAATTTCCTTTAAAAGGGGCAGAAACCTCGAGCAGAACCATGACTCAGGTGGGCGGCCATCTGCCTCGACCGGTTGGGGGTGATAATACATACACATAAAAATGTCTTATTATGTTGTTGAGCATTTTGATGGCAGGCTGGAAAAGGTTGAGTGGGAAAATGAGGTGCTTGGGTGCGTTTGGTGTGACTTGAAGAACAAAAATCAAAAAGATCAATATTAGCATTTTTCAGCTTCTATCTTAGGCTTTTTTGTCTTGTATGTCAGGCTTACCAACTCTGAGGGAATTCTCTGGGTTCATGGGTCTTATGACCAGTGGTAAGGAAGGAGGTGCTTTCAGGGCTTTTGGAGGGGCTCTCTGAGGTGTTTTGTTTTTTTTGGGTGGAGGTTGCATGGAGTGCATGGTGGAGTAAAGTCATCTTCCTCTGACAGAAGTGATGAGGATGATGATGGTGATGGTGACCTAAGCCGTTTTGGTCTAAATATTTAAATGAATAGTTATTAGAATTTTAATGCACAACAATAGGCAACAAAACTAAACAAAAAAAGAATACATGCAAACATTTCTAATGCAAAAAACGAATAGTAATAGATGCATTCTCACTTTTTCCGTATTCTAACTTTTTAGGCTTCTTGCTCTTTATCTGTGTTGAGGTCTGATGTCACACAAGACATTTCCCAGCGCTCTTTAATTCTGTCAATAGAATCTGTAGAGCCCATTCAGCAAGTCAAGTATTAAGAAGTCACAGTATCAGAACACCACCAGAAGTTATTCATGCAACTTTTAGGCCCAATTCTATTAAGCGCGTTATATTGAAAATTACCTGATTCGTAGAGTATGCATGCAGCATACTGCCTCCATCCCTTTGTTGGTTGCGGCAAAATCCTCTTTTGGACACTTCGGAGAATTTGGACTTTGTCCCTATAGGGGGGCCACCAAGCAAGCCCATCTGAAAACCACTCCTTTGCCACAGGGCCAGTTCTGTTTTCCTCCTCAAATAGTACTATTAAGTACATATTGAGCCAAATACAAAATATTTAACACAACAAAAGGGTATTTCAATCACCATAAAAAAGAAAACATGGTCAAACAGAAAACTATCACACAATCAATATAAAGACAACATAGTGCATGTTGATAGGATGACATTTTCAGATAACTACTTACTGTTCAGACAGGCAAGGAGATCAGAGCAGGTCAGGGGAAGAGGCTTTGGTGACTAGTGAAGCAGCAAGGAAATGGACAGACAAGCAGGCAGGCAATGACACAATTACACACAATTTACAAATGCAACACAAAATATATAAACATACAAAAACAAGAGAGGTTGAGAGATGGTGGGTGGGCAGGTGGTGGGCAGTTCAGGTATGGGAGTGGATCAATCAATATGTATGAGGGACACAGCAACAAACTTTCTTCCATGAGGTATTAGGAAAACCTTCCCTTCTACCAGTCCAATATTGCAGTGGTGTGTCGTGTCCAAGAGGCCATCTACTAAGTGTATGGCAAATGTAGAGGAAGGCGTGGGGTAGTCAAAGAAGGACTCTTCATGGGCAAAATTTGAATAGACCAGGTATACCTCCTCCTTCTCAACAATTATATTCCTGATCTTTGCTACCTTTCCCTGAATGTACACATGGCTGTTGGCTTGGTCCAGTTTGAGGGTAAACAGTTCTGTGTCATATTGGGTGTACAGATGTGCAAAATGAAACAATGGTGGCAGAGGTCCTGATGTGTGCTCTCTCCTTACACCCAGATTTCTCATTTGCAGTGTTTTTACAGATGCTTTCTCTGAAAGCTCTTCACAATCTGACAGCAGGGAGATCCTGGTTTCCTCAAGCCGCTTTAGCTTTTGCAAAATTTTCAAACTTGAAAGCACTGAAGGAGTCCAGGTTCCCATGCACCCTGACATCTTGTGCAAGATGCACAAGGTTGTGGAAATTGTATGAGAGGTACATCTCACCATACAGCTCCCCAAAGTGGTGAACAAACAACACAAGAGCTTCATTGCCATACTCAATGTAGTCCTCAAGAAGTGCCTTGTTTGATAGTATGAAAACACCAACAAAAAGAAGTAAAAAGTGCTGGTACACTGCAGTATGCAGGAGGTCTTTAAGGAGCAAGACCGGTATAAAGCAGGAACTGGCGGAATTCAGACGCTTTCCATCTGTCTACCTCCTTCAGGGATCTTGGCCTTCGTGCAAACTCCACTGGCACGCTTGTCTGATCTTTAAGAGCTTCTCAGAGAGCGTCTTTACCTGAAAGCCAGAGAGCCTGCAGGCCAGTGGACCCTTGAGCCACAGGTACAAGAGTCGCCTCATGACCCCCAGGCGGACAAGATGCATGTAGTCTAATGGGAACCCACTGACCATGCCCAAAGATGTGGCAGTCAGAGGTGAAGGCCCTACATGATGGCCTTCATAAGCCATTTCTTTGAAGTCCTTGTCAGTGCGGAGGCGGGCATCAGTTTGAGGGAATATCACTCGGTTGTTCACATATTCCCCCTCCTGCATGAATTTTCCACACCTGAGTAGCCTGAGTGTCCCTTGACATTCTTTACAAATGCTCGGGCTGGTGCATCACAGACCATTGAGGACAGCTGGAGACTCATGGTGATTCCTTGGAATGTGAATCCCTTCTCCAACTCCACAACATCAGCCACAAAATCTTCCAGGTATTCATAGAATGATGGTTTGCTGGTACCACAAAACAGCCCAATCACAAATGGCTGATGCTGGGGAGGTTCTTGATAGCTCCCAGAATGGGCCAGAATTGTGTGGAAGAACTTTTAAAAACTGGCAACCGTCCACATTCACTTGGAGTTCTAGGCAGACACCACTAGCCAAGTTGCACTTATTAGCCTCCAAAGTAGTATTCATCCACTTCAGGATGCCAAAGTAATGGTATGTCCCTCCAGCCTTTTCCTTGACAACCACAGACTCCGACAGTGCAGTCTGCAGCAATGTTCTTGCATCAACTGGCAGTGATGGATGATGGTATTTCAAAAATTTCAATAATTTATTTAATGCACTGTGAGTTATATTTTCTTCTAATGCCCACGATGTCAAATTACTTTCCAAATGGTTCACCTCATCTTCACTATCTACGCTATTGTTGTCAGAATCAAAGGAATCATTAAACTCCTCAGACTCAGCAAAAGATGATTCGCAATCCATAAGTCCTCCTCAACATTAACTGGAATTTCATTGCAAGCGTCAACAAATTCTTCTTCGTGAACCTCATTGCCACTAGCAAAACCAGAACAAATGGACTCCAATTGTTGGTTAACTCTTGCCCTAGATTTCCGCTTCAATGTCCAGTAAGAAGGTGTATTGGCCATACTTAACAAATTACAATAATAAAAAAATAATAAAAAATAAAACACATTAAAAAAGGATTACACAATAAACACAGAAGAAAAACATAGGAAATTATATTAAAATACACATCAGAATACAAAATAAACACGTAAAAAACAAAAAGCAATAAATACTAGTATACCATTACTCTAATGTACATGAGTGTAACACATAGCCTACCTTTCTAGCCAGGAGGGATGTCTGCAGATAAGGGCTGACTGAAACCCAATGTGGAGGGTGGGTGTGAAGACAGACTCTGCTTGAAAGGGAGACACAAAAACATATGGCCCAATGTATTTAAGTATTTGACATACTTCACAAAGAAACAGGTATAGAGAATACAATAGTCTGCTTGAATTAATTTTCAATTCAATTATATTTGTAAATTGCCAGCTCATACAGAAGTTATTTTACAACACTTTTCCTACAGAGCAGGGGGCACAGACAGGCTTACTATTTATTTTTTTAATTTGAATGCTCAAATATAACCAACAACGACTCTAAAGGGCTCTGTTTCGGACTAACTAACAAGACCAGGCCCCTCTGTGAATGAATGGGGGGAGAGGGCGAAAACTGCACTTTCACTGGTCCCCGGGACATAAAAACTGCATGTATTGAATCACCAGTAAAACCTGATAAAAAACACTGAAAAGGTTTGCTGACTGTCCCAAAATAAGGTTTAAAAAGCATTTTCCCCCACTGTTATATCTACTACTGATGCGTGGTAGATCATTAGGCAATGATTGGCTTAAAAGGTTTCCTTTCTCGACCGTTTCAAGCAGACGATTGGCTTTCTAGCGGAGAGGCGAGAAGGGTCCAGCTGCAGCCTGCAGATAAACGTTACGGAAGTTGAACTTCCATATGTGGTTCGTCCCAGATGCCACCGCGCACAAAACATGTTGATGTTTATCTCGGTCGCTTGGCCCACGCAGAGCCGTAAAAAAAAAAAAAGAGCCGATAAATAAGCTAAGTGTAGTATTAAGTATTAATCAGTGTAAATTATGCATTAACATTTACTATACTATAATATATGTTACTATCATAGCATATTAATACTATAATTCCTGCAAATATTTATTTATAATAGCCTAATGATAATAATAAAGCAATGTTTCAATTCATACCACTGGTGTTGTATATTTTATTTGTTCCAAAGTGATTTTAAGTCAAACCAAAAATATTCTGTAAGTTACATAACGACCAAGATGTATCTTGATTTAGGTTACAACTTTACAACATAATGATAGAATAACAGCGGTACGTGTGACTGGGCCTGGGGGAGCAAACCCGGTGTTGTGCTGAGTTTTGCCTGCCTGCCGAGAATTGCATGCACCTCCAAATAATGCTTTTAAACGCTGTAATATTTATTGTGGGCTTCATCAATGGTGATAAATGATTAGAAGTATATATTTTATGAACATTTATAGTCTTTAATATTTTAAAACACTTAGTAGAAGTACCATTCCTTGACATTCAGTAAATATATGTGGTGATAACGCCGTTTGATCAATGAGCACAGCAAAGTGTCTGAGAAGGACCTAAAGAGGTGGATGCATAATTCTGCAGATCAAATTTTGTAGGCTACCTGCCGAGATTTGCATCCACCTCTTTTTCTCAGCATAAATGACCGTTAGCACCGGCGAGGTCAGGCAGGCAAAACACGGCACAACACCGGTCGTCAGCAAGCTATAGCTAGCTAAATATTCCTGACAGCCCCCCGAGGCATATTACTCTTACCCTAACCATCACAGGGTGTGTGCCTAAAGTTATATGCATGTCGACCTTTTTATACACAGTCTATGATGTCAACCGGTTACCCTACAGTGACGCATGTCGGCCGTAACCTCCATTGTGTTGCTGTGCAGCCTCCGGTAACGTTATTGACACCAGTCTGCACTTCCAGAGCTTCTCAACTCCGAAAATGTTTTAACACTTTCAATTCGTCGTCAATTTTCGTTAAACTGCCGATATTCGAAATCTACACAGTTGATTTCTCGCCTAAAACTTCTCAGAAGTGGATTTAAAGTTCTGTTGTTGGCCCCTGAAGAATAAAACTGTTAGCATTAGGTAAGCATTACTATACGTGAGCCATCACGTTTTGTGCGCGGTGTCTTCTGGGAAAAACCATATTTGGAAGTTCAAGTTCCATCAAGTCTGCGGGCTGCAGCTGGATATACTTGGTAGAGGCGGGAGAATCGTGGCGTTACATATTTTTCCCAAATAAGGTCCCATGGTGGTCCGCATGCTATATCTGCACACCAGCTACTAGCTAGGTTATTTCCAACACATATTTGTTGTTCAGAAAAGCATTATCGGGGGGGGGGGTGTACAGGCAGGGTAGCGCCTGACTAAAATCACCCAACTAACGTAAGTGACAATATATTCGGTGAGAGGAACACAATTAGCGCATCTTTCAGTCAATGCTTGGTTCAATTTGTCATTAAGTATTGGCCATGCTTCGTGGATAAATGCTTGTTAACATGTTGGCATGATGGAGGCAGTTCGGATTTCTGATGATGAGGCCGAGAGTTCAGCGGGAGTCGATGCGTCCCTAGCGAACGTTTTTTCCACAAATGGGTGTAGCTAGCTACCGGTTAGCTTACATTAGCTAGATAGCTAGCTATCTAATGCAAGGTAAGTTGACGTAAAACAATTTGTAAGTGCCGTTCATATACTGGAAACACATTTTTTTGTTATATCCAGCTATAGCCAACTAAATAAACTGGAAAGTTTTGCTGGTTAAAATAGCTTTTTTAATTCTGGGACTTAGCTAACGTTAGCTAAACTAACTATTAGCTAATGATAGTTAATAGTCCGGTTTCTCAGCTGTGTAAATACATAGACGTTGTGTATAAAAAAGTATGGCACAACGGTACAGGGCTGTAATAACGTTATGCTTTATTACATGTCACATAATTAACATAATCGCTATTTAATGTTAGTCAAGTGATCGCTTACATGACAACTCAACCTGTCACTTCTCCAGCGCTGCCAGTCTGTCTGGTGACGAGGGTGCGCTTCTGACGCTGTTATGGGCGGCATCGTATTACTAGCATTGCGCCGATCCAAAGCCGACCCATTGGAGAAATTAAATGGAGCGTGGAGAAATCCGACTATGCGCAGATGCTTGTTATACGCTATAAATATAATTCGATGTACGATATTAGGCTTGACATCGGCAAGACGTACGTGTGCTATCTGGGAAAGAGTTCACTGACGCAGCCGACCTGATTTCAGCCTCGGGGACCTGACAGCAAACGCTCTGTCTATGGACTGTATATGGTCGAGACTCTGGAACAGACAACAGACGTCTGCCTGAGGACCTCAAGGTACGTGCTGGTGTGTATGGGACTAAAAGGTCAGAAATATAACAAGGTGAGAGGCCATGAAGAGCTTTAAAAGTGATCAATAAAGTTATCAATAAATTTTAAAGTCAATTCTAAAACATACTGGGAGCCAATGCAATGAAGCTAAAACAGGGGTAATGTGGTCATATTTTTTAGTTCTGGTTAAAAGTCTGGAAGCTGAGTTCTGGACAGTCTGGAGTTGATCAATAGTGAAAAGGCTGTTGCAGTAATCCAGGCGTGATGAGATGAAGGTGTGTAAAATGGTTTCAGTGTCCTTAAAAGTTAACATAGATCGTATTTTAGATATATTTCTAAGCTGGTAAAAACATGATTGCACCAGCTTTGTGGTGTGCTGCTTAAAATTTAACAAATCAAACCAGACACCAAGATTCTTTGCAACAGGCTTAACATGAGTCACTAAGGACCCAATTTCTAGGATCTCAGTTTTGTCTGAGTTGAGCTGGAGGAAATTATTTGACCTCCAATTTTTGACTTCACAGAGGCAGTCGGTAAGTGAACAGGGTCTGTGGATCTGACCGGCAAATACATCTGTGTGTCATCAGCTGGACAGAATGAAGAGACATAGTTGTTCACAGACACACAGAACTTCCTATTTGACAGGTAGGATGAAAACCATTCTAAGGCAGTACCAGAGACCCCCACCCAGTGCCTCAGTCTGTCTAACATGATGTTGTGATCAATGGTGTCAAAAGTAGCACTAAGGTCCAGGATTACCAGGACTGAGCACATACCATCATCAGCAGACATTAAAAGGTCATTGGTGACTTTAAGCAGGGCAGTCTCAGTGCTGTGGTACTTCCTGAAACCAGATTGAAACTTTTTTAAATAATTTGTTATTTTCCAGTACAGTGAGCAGCTGTTTGGACACAATTCTTTCTAAAATCTTTGCTATAAAAGGTAGTTTTGAAATGGGTCTAAAATTTTGATGGAGGGAGGGATCTAAACCAGGTTTCTTTAAAAGTGGGTTCACGCAAGCCGTTTTAAAATAATCAGGGACACAACCAGTAGATAGGGAGCTGTTAAAAACAGAGATCAAATGGGGCCTGACAGAATCCATTATTTTCAGTAAAAACTTTGTAGGTATTACATCAAGTGGGCTGGAGGACACTCATTTGTGATACTGTTTTTAAAAGCTCAGACAAGTCAATGGGATAAAACTGGTTAAAACTCTCTTGTTGCCGGTGAGGGACCTCAGGGTAAGAGGAAGAGGGAGTAATAGAGGCTCTGATTGACATAGAGGCTCTCATTTTTACATGGTTTGAATTTGGCTGTGGGCCCAGGGGGGTGTATATAATGATGATAGAGAGTGATCAAGAGGTGAATTTGTGCATTATACTTTGTCAATTAAACCAAGCCAGGCAGCCTTCTGTGTTTGAGAACGGTGCTGTTTTTTAATTGCCCACTAGAGGGCTGCAGCGCCACAATAACCAGCCTAGTTTAAATGAACGAAATGACTTAAAAAGATTAGTTCATTTTAAGGAACGAGATTTGAAGACTCGAGTCTGTCAAAAGAGTCGAACTTGCCATCACTAGGCTCGACTCGCCTTTGTTTGGTTTGGTTGTTTGGAGGTTCCAAGCGAGCTCAGGCGATACTAAAATGTGACGTGAAAACACAGCAGACTGCTGATTGGTCAGAGAGAATCGTCACTATTCACTGCATCATCATTACGCGCGCCTGACAGAGGCCAGCAACATAAAGTTTTATATTTTACAGTTTTTGTATGTAATTTCATCACTAAATCCACTTCTGAGAAGTTTTGAGGTGAGAAATCAACTGTGTAGATTTCGAATATTAACAGTTTTACGAAAAGTGATGGCGGAACAAAAATGTTTGAAGGTTTTCGGAGTTGAGGAGTTCCACAAGTGGCAACGAAGGGAGCCCTCTGGTCCCACCGTCACACAGACCGCTGCAGCAACAACGGCAGAGGAAAATACAGCTGTAAGGTTTTTATACCGCTTATCTGTCTTTACATTGTGAGTAAGGTTGAAACATTTTAACTTAAATAAAGAGAAAGCTCTGTGGGTCGCTGGTGTGTGTGTCGCATTGAACATTACGTCGCGGCTGTTGTGTGTGGCGTCACTATGACGACCAGCTACATTGATGGGTACTATCTCGGGGTACTATCTGCACCAGAAAACGGAGCACGGCTAAACCAAGTCGAGGCGAGTTGAGCTGGTACATATATCACAACATTTTACTGAAGCAACTATGAGATATTGCATTCTAAAAATGCATCCAACAGCAAAATGTAAACAGACATAACATTTTCTTGAACTTATAGATGAAATAGGTGGAGGGATTTTTAGAGTGCAACATCTCATAGGTGGAACAGTAAAATGTTATATGTACCAGTAATAGTACAGGACACTAGGAAGCAGAAGATATGAAATAGGTGGTGTCACCTATAAAGGAACTGTTTTGGTGAAAGGTCAAAGTTCACAGCTATGTTAACTGTCTATTTAGTTTTCGCTGTTGGAGGGGTTTTTAGAGTATAAATTTATCCAATTTGGTACAGTAAAATGTTATGATATATGTACCAGTGATAGTAGCTGACAGTATGAAGCAGAAGATATGAAATTGGTGGCGTCACCTATTAAGAAACTGTTTTGGTGAAAAGTCAAAGTTCACAGAAAACATTACATTAAGCTGACGCTTTTATCCAAAGCGACTTACAATTGCTATATATGTCAGAGGTCGCACGCCTCTGGAGCAACTAGGGGTTAAGTCTCTTGCTCAGGGACACAATGGTGGAATCGAACCCAGGTCTCCCACACCAAAGGCAAGCATCTTATCTATGCAACATCACAACCCCAGTTTAACATGTTTACATTTTACTGTTGGGGTTTTTAGAGTGCAATATCTCATAGGTGGTGAAGTAAAACCTTATGATATTTTTACCAGTGATAGTAGAGGACACTAGGAAGGAGAAGCCATGACTAACTGCTGAGGAATTATGCTGGGGAAAGGTCAAATTTCATATAAATTATGTTCACAAAATAACAAAAGAAAAGGTACATTTTGTTGCATTGCATTAATAACAAATAATAAATTATACTACTGTTATCATTATTGTTATTAGTAAAATTATTATATTTCTGTTGTATGTTTTTGTGTTCATATAATCACTAAGAGCATCACAAAAAAACGCGTATGTATCTTTCAGGACCTTCGGCTCACTCGCATCTCGTCCTTAACATAATAAAACTGCTTTAGGCGCAACAGAAATCAGACGGCGGCAGGGTTAACCAAGGTTTCGCATTTGGCGGCTCACGTTACCGCAGTCCTGCATCTTCTACAAAGCATCTTACTACAAACACTGGGTTCAGACACAGCTAATATGAACGCAGAGCTTGACTGTCTCCACAGTAACGTTTTAGGACTAAAGTAACAGTAACTAAGTTAACAGCAGGTCCTAACAGTGCAAAGTGAACCTCAATGTGTTAGCCAGCTAACTTCAACTAATATTAGACTTTCTGTTAACATTACTGCTGAAAACAGAACTTTTTCACTTACCAGACCAAAGCGCAGGTAGCAAGGAGCAAGGAGGAAAATAATAAGCGTTGACGACTGTCTGGAGGGTTTCATCCACTGGTGATACCTGACGTTACTTTTTGGCTAACGGTAGCTAACGTTAGCATAAAGGCCTTTTCACACAGGTTTACCATCATCCATCGTCAATCGCTTAAGCGATTTTCTGTAATTAATTTTCAATGAGAGGCAAGCGTGTAGGAAGAGAAGCATTGAGACAGGCGTAGCAACAAGCGGGCGTGTTCCCGTGAAACTGTCGTGGTTGTGCTCGTCTCACGCACACGCCCGCCCTTGCCAAAGTTGAATTGACTTGAACTTTCTGTAGCCTACGCGACGCGCAGCACAAAAAGAAGATGGATGAGAGACTGATCCTCGCTGTCTGTGACTTCCCTGAAATAGCCCATTGGAGTGTTCGATGAACAGTTATTGGGACATTAACAGGAGGGCATTTGCATGACTAGATTTATCAGCTATATGAATATGAATAATATATAATATAATATATAGCCTATCAACTAACGTTACTTATAGTTTTACTTTAAGCTAGTCTATTAAAGAATACAGTGGAAAATGACGAAGGATGAGAGACTGATCCTCTCCGTCTGTGACTTCCCTGAAATATATTAACAGAACGTTAACAGGAGGGCCTTTACTAGATTTATCAGCTATATGAATATGAATAATATAGCCTATATAATATAGTAATACAGCCTATCAGCTAACGTTACTTAACCTGTAGTTTTACTTTAAGCTAGGCTGTGAAGGAATACAGTGGCGAACAGAAGCCGTTGCCGTGATTAATATCTATTGAGCGCCTTCCGTTTACTCGCGGAGCGCTTGTCTTTGTGTCTGGTCACATGAAAACCGCAGAAGCGACCCAGCGGGGCCAGGTGACTACACAGGCGGAGTGTTGCTTCCCGTGTGAAAAGACCTTAACGTGGCAAACTGCCTGCACATATGATACTGCCTCTGGTGATCACAGCGTGCGATTATAAAATAAAGTCAAAGAAGAAAAAACACTTTCACAGCGCTGCAGAGAAAGCTGGGTTCTATCAAACTCAATAAATTACATTATTGATGAACAGTTTTGCTTCCTTACTTTCAAATTCCTCTTTCCCGCCTTGGATTGCCATCTCGATGTTGATGACGTCAGACGTCAGTCCCTCTGTACACTCATAAATTATCAGTAAGATAACAATGTTCACTCAAAAACAATGATGCACATACAATTAAAACAGCATTACCCGTTAAAATAACTTAGTTATTTATTGTTCGGTTTACTTATTTGCTGTTTTTGAGTTAGCTTGCTTATGAATTAGCAGTACTGTTCAGAATTACAGTGAGTAATAATATGCTAATGAATAATGAGCTTTAGCAGCTGTAGCTAACACACCGACTGACACGTGCATTTGTGTGTGTGTGTGTGTGTGTGTGTGTGTGTGTGTGTGTGTGTGTGTGTGTGTGTGTGTGTGTGTCTGCCCTCGCTGAAACACCTACAGAGAGAGCAGAGGAGAGAAGCAGGCTGTTTGTTTCTGTTTGTTTGGCTTAAGCGCTGTGAAAAAGAAGCTTATAGTGATTGGGAAAACCCTAATTTTTGTAAATTGTAACCACATTTTGGTAGATTCCGCGACTCCGTTCCGATTACTGCATCATGGAAATCACATTGGTTAGCTCAGTTGGTAAAGCGCAAGACTCTCGCATAAAAGGTTGCATGTTTTATCCTACGTCAGGAGAATTTTTTCCCCCTCTCTTCAATAGATTGATTATGAAGCGACTGTTTCTCATGCTCACAATAAAGCTTATGCTGCATTGTGTGTGTTCTGGCATTTGATCCACAGCCACAGACCTTCAGACGCCTTTCCATTTCCCCAGTCTCTCCAGGCAGAGGACATTCTTGCACTTGTTTTCCTGATGTTTTCCTTTCAGAGGTGTGTCAAGCAGGCTACAGACTCTTTTGAATGTCATTCAGCATTTTTCAAAGTAAAAGCTCTCAATTCAACTTGTAACTCCATAATCACCAAGAGAAGTATCGTGTTTTCCTTGTCAATGCTGTAAAATGCCTTTGTATAAACTTCATCTATTATGTGGTTTATAATGGACTGTGGTGCAGAAACAGTGACAGTGTTTCACACTTTTGGCTTTCATTTGGCATGTTATCTGTCAGAGGCCAAGTCACAGTAACATATGTTTTTACTGAATTATTAAGTAAATATAATATATCTACCTAAAGAAACCTCATTTCTTTAGTGGCTACTCTCTGCTGTCTCGTGTCAGCCACCGTACGCTCTTTGAAAGGGGCGGGCGGAGCCGTAGACTAGACAATTAGTTGCAATTCGCAACCTCACCTCTAGATGCCACTAAATCTTACACACTTTTAATGCTTTGCAACAATGTGGTTTCTTGATTTTCTTCAAAACAGGAGGGGGATCAGTTTAAATCAATTTACACAAAGATTTTATACTCCCAGTTACCCAAAATGTATGTCTGCTGCAACACTGATCACTTTATAGCAAAGACGGTGCTCTTGCAACGTTAACAGCTCTGAAAATGTTTCCGGTAATGGAAAGTGAAGGCAGTAATGAGGGGACAGCACAAATGAGCTGCTGATTATATGTCTGAGACTCTCTCTCTAATCACATTTAGAAAAGCAGAGAATGGTTTAGCTACAGACTGTTTATGGTATTTGTAAATAGTATTTTTTTTTGTTCCAACTTTCACCAGTTTTTCAGGATTTTTTCCCTTTGTTGGACAGTTGATGTAATACAAACAGAAAACAGGCAATTATAACTGCAGGAGTTGAGCATATGTCATCTTTTTTCCCAGTTTGTTGTTGCATCTTCTTTACATTTTATATAATAGACATATACTCTTCTAAGCTCCCTACATTGCATGAGGATACAACCTATTCTTCTGCGTGAACAGATGCAGGTATCTTACTTACGCAAACATAGGCATCTTCCAGTGCACACAAACACACAGAAACACCTACTCACACATGCAAACACCTTTCCTCCCAGTCTCCGTGTCCCATGTGGCCAGTTGCATCAGCAGCGGGGCCTCTGACTGTTGTCATGGTGTGAAACATCCCTGTAACCCCAGTGGGTTTAACCAGCCCCCTCTGCCTGCATGTACGATGCAAAGCACCCTGTTACCCAGCCAGGTGCTTTCCACAGGTGTTGTCAACAGATAGAGGACAAACAAACACACACAGAACTCCTATTACCTGATGGAGTGTGGCTCAACGGGGCTTGCAGATCCCCGTGATGGTGCATATTTGCTCAGTTTACCTCAGTAACATGCATACCTCTCAGTTTTTTACAGGCTTTGTGGTGAGCCACGTCACAAATTGCCTAGCAACTACGTCTGGCGTCATCATTTTGACCCACAGGAGAATTGGCTGTGCACAAACACTGGCTGAATGGTTACATATCCACAAGGCTGGGAAGTGAGACATACCTGAAAAAGAGATTGTTTGTGTTTGTAGATCAAATTCAGTTACAAAAAGTAAACAGTTTGAGGTAGACTAACTCGAAATTACGGCAAGATAGCGACTTGATCATTCAGAAATGATGTCTCAGTGGTATTCTTCTCATAGTTCCTCAGATATAATTAAATTGCAGCAAGAAAGGCCAAAGGATGTATTTTATGTGTGTGGAAACAGGGCTGCGCTCCATCAATTCCCATTTAGGATAGCCCTGATCCACAGAGAGTCTTCTGATTGGCGGAAAGAATGGAGTCTAAAGACTGCAGTGTGTGCAAGGGAACTAAAGAGCAAGGTAGGAAAAAGAGATGTAGATAGACAGACTCGCAGCGATAGAGCAGGAATTGGCTAATAGTCAAAGTGGGGCTAGCCGCTTCCTGAATTGTTAATAAACCCTCTCAGAGACCCTGATGAGTGTGATTGATTGGTACTGGCCTGTAACAATGTGAGCCTCTTCAGTGCACTCAAACTCATTTACCTTTCACCAGCTCTGCCTTTCGATTCCTCTTTGTGTGACTGTGGCTTTATCTGCGCCTGAGCCTCAATAAGCCTTTGTATTGTATTGTCTTTGAATATTAGAGTGCAGCTATGGAGTCTTAACACAACATTCATCACGTATCTCGTGAA